CTACGCAACCTAAAACCATCTCTATCTATTGGACCGGATGGAATATGTGCCTACTTCTTAAGAAAGCTATCCACTGCCATAGCCAAACCTCTAAGCATAATCTTTGAAAAATCTTTCAGGACCAGCTCCTTGCCTAACCTATGGTCACAAGCCACAGTCATCCCCATCTTCAAAAAGGGAGACCCAAGCCTAGTTGAAAACTACAGGCCAATCTCCTTATGCTGCGTCACCTGTAAAGTCATGGAATCAATTATTAACCAATCCATCATCCTTCACTTAGAGACAAATAACCTACTCTCCAATAAACAATTTGGTTTCAGAAAAAAACTATCCTGTAATCTGCAACTCTTACACTGCAAAAACATATGGACGACACAACTCGACCAGGGCAAAACAATAGACGCAATCTACATAGACTTCTGTAAAGCCTTTGATTCAGTGGTACACGACAAACTACTCCTAAAAATAAAATCCTATGGTATCTCTGGACAACTGAATAACTGGATAGAAGCATTCCTGTCAAACAGACAACAAATGGTCAAAATCGGGAACGTCCTATCAAATCCAGTACCTGTCAATAGTGGTGTTCCCCAAGGCAGTGTTCTAGGACCAACTCTCTTCATACTCTACATAAACGACCTCTGTGATCATATTAAGAGCAATTGCGTTCTCTTCGCTGATGATGTAAAGCTGTTCAATACCACAGACAATACTGCTACCCTACAAAAAGATCTTGACTATGTATCCGAATGGTCAAACAAATGGCAACTTCAAATCTCAACAAATAAATGCTCTGTCTTACATATTGGCAAAAAAAATCAGAAAATAAAATACGAGCTGAATAGTCAAGATCTTGTTGATGACCCAAGCTCTGTAAAGGACCTTGGAATACTCACCTCTAATGATCTAAGTGCTAGAGCACACTGCAACTACATAGCCAAAAAGGCATTAAGAGTTGTTAACCTAATCCTACGTAGCTTTTTCTCTGGTAATATCACACTACTAACCAGAGCATACAAAACATTTGCTAGACCAATACTCGAATACAGTTCATCAGTCTGGAATCCACACTACGTATCTGATATTAGCACAATTGAGAAAGTCCAGAAATATTTCACAAGAAGAGTTCTCCACTCCTCTACTCGCTGTAGAATACCTTATGCCACCAGACTTGAAATTCTAGAACTAGAAAACCTTGAATTACGCCGTCTTCGGTCTGACTTAAGCATGGTATACAAAATCATACATTGCAATGTCCTACCTGTCAATGAATACTTCAGCTTCAACCATAACAACACAAGAGCACACAATAGATACAAACTCAAAGTAAACCGCACCAAACTTGATTGCAGGAAATACGACTTCAGCAATAGAGTGGTCAATGTCTGGAATACTCTACCCGACTCTGTAGTTTCTTCCCCAAACCCCAAAAACTTTAACCTTAGACTGTCTACTATTGACCTCACCCCTTTCCTAAGAGGTCTGTAGGGGGCGTGCATAAGCGCACCAACGTGCCTACCGTCCCTGTCCTATTGTTTCTCCTATTCTTTTATTTTTCTTATATGTAACCATTTCATGTATTCACAACTATGTATACATTTATACTTATTATCTTGTAAACAATTGGCAAATCAAATAAATAAATAAATAAACAAGAGTCTTGTAATTGTTGGCTACTTTCTGACATTTTCAGCCATTTTATTTTAGTGTTCATGGCTGCCACCTAGTGGTGTCATCTGTGCTTAAAGCCCTGTTTTTTGCATGTCCAAAATTAAGAAAATATCCTAATGCGTTTAGTATCTAATAACTCTAAAGTGGTCTTATAGATATTGGCAGAAGGTAGGAGACTGTTTATAGAAACAAAAGGTCTCTGAACCACTTCTGGCTAACCAATTAAAACAATTAAGCTTTTGAAATCTTTTTTTGGAAAAAATAAAATGTTGATAGAGCAGTTATAAAGATGTAACCATAGGAAAAAATCTTTACTTACAATTATTTGTTACTGTTTATTATAATGGGTTGGATTTTATAGGAAATTTAAGCATAATTTAAACAATTTGATATAGTTGAATTGTGATTAGCAGCTCTGTACCGCACACCTACAGCTTTCTAATAAAGGACAAAAAAAGATTTTACTTTGGGGAAGAAATAATAGATAAGAGATAATGGAGCAGTTTTATTAACTACAGATTCTAACATCCTTGGATTTAACTGATGCTGCATGCATCACTGCCTGCTAAAGAGAATTTTATTTATTTCAGTTTTCTAGTTAAAAAAATCTTGAAGTTAATTTTTAAATCTATGTGAGTGTTTTGCTTGTCATTACCTTTTCCAACCTTGATAAAGGAAAAGCCAGACTGACTTCTTCTTGGGTCTTACCTGGAAAAAGAGATTGGACTGTTGTAGTGTGCTCTTGCATAGTATCTGGAAGCTTCAACTGATGCAGAATTCAGTGGCACAGGCAGTTTATGTGGGCCCCAAGAACAGCACATGTCACACCTCTCCTACAAAAGCTTCATTGGCTACCAGTTTGCTTCTGGTCCAATTCAAAGACCTGATTTTTACCTTTAAAGCCCTTTATGGCATGGGACCAGGATTTGAGGGATCGTCTCTCCCCGATTACATTATTAGATCTGCCAGAAGAACAGGTTCTGGGTATCATCTTTTGAGGAATTTACATTTGATGGGTCCCAGGAAGTGGGCTTCCTCTGCCATGGCACCGTCTTGAGAAACATTCTACCTCCCCCCCAAGATATCAGATTAATTCCATTCCTGTTAATGTTTGGGAAGCCCTCAAAACCTGTTTATATCCCCAAATTTGGGAGTTGCAGGACTGCAATGGTGACATTTTATGGTGGCTCCCCTAATATGAGTAACACATGGTTGTGATATATCTCCCCATATGTATACTTTAAATTTTTAATTATATTTTAATTTTTAATAATAATTGCCCATTTTTATAATTCACGTTTTTATTGTTTTTATATTGTTTTATTTAATTGTTGTATACTGCCTCAAGTAACTTTTAGTAAGATAAGATAGGTGACTATATGTCCCGTTTCAGAAGTATTTTAGATAATTTTAGTTCAATTTTTCTTTTATGGAAAACAGAAACAGATTTTTCACTCAAGATAATAAAGAAATAGCTTGGTGGAAAACTTTGCAATTATTCAGTAAGGAAAAAAAAAAGACATAGGATTACATTCAAAGATGCAAATAAAGGCTCTTGGAATTACTGATAAGTCTTACAGAAAGAAAGAAAGAAAGAAAGAAAGAAAGAAAGAAAGAAAGAAAGAAAGAAAGAAAGAAAGAAAGAAAGAAAGAAAGAAAGAAAGAAAGAAAGAAAGAAAGAAAGAAAGAAAGTTTTTTCATTCCTCCGTAGTAAAATTGTTTATCTGCAGTCTCCTTCCCCCCAAAATGGAGATGGAGACCCCCATTTGAGAACAAAGTTCCCAGTCACTGGAATGTAATCCAAGAAAAATAAATACTACAAAGGCCAGTAACAGGAGGATGTCTTTCGAGCTTGTTTTTTGTGACCATCTCGGCTCCTGGAGAAAGGGGGTTCCCCCAAAACATGTGTATCAGCTGGATACACTCTTTGTACTAAGTTTCTGTCTGTTTAGCCAGATGTCTTCCCAACAGGGACAAAGGAAAAAAAAAACAGATCTTGCATTATAATAAGACAGGAAACTGAAAAGTGTGTCTAGTGAAAGAAGGCTCATTGTATCCCATCTGATATTTATTAAGGGTTGTTTAAGCAGGGAGAAATGTGCAGCATCCGGAAATGACCCGGACACTCTGGTATGTTCAACTGGTGACAAAGGATTGGAAGCAGCCCATCATTAAAGCTGGGTGCTCAGATTACATAAAGAAGGACCCAAATCAAATGAATGTGAACAGATAAAAGTCCAATTAACATTAAACTTGGTTTTGCATAATTTAGAATATGGTCACTTCAAGAGTATAGAATAGTCTTATGAACTTTTAATCTACTAATGAATACTAGGAAATTCACTGTACAACTTTTCCCTTCTAATAAATGCAGTCAGGGAGTAAAGCCCTCCCCAGTTTCACTTACATTCCATTCATTTTACTTACATTTGCAGAGACAATTCAGGACTGAGATATTTCATTTTAAGAGGAGCAAACAAAAGTAACAACAAAAATGAGACAATATGTGACCATAAGGATTGCAACAGGGCACAAAGTGTCCTTACAGTTACAAGTGTCCTTCTTACAGTTGTCTCATATTTTTTGTTGTTACTTCTGTTTGCTCCTAATTTGGCCAAATTAGCATATATTAAATTTCTAGAGCCTAATGCTAATGGTTTTGGTAGGTCAATTATTATATTTTTTTAACTTTTAGATAAGTAGTTAACTTATAGTTTGAATGTTTTAAGTGGAACAGAAATTTTTCTGAAAAGCACAATTCTAGGTAAAACCCATAGAATGCATGTTTCTTATTTCTTGTTGCCTGAATCAAAACTCATATTCATAAGATTAAAAACTGTGTGTGTGGTATTTATCCATTTGGGAATCTGAATATTTTAAAAACAGTGTAAAGGATAGTAATTTACCATATCTATTTAGGTGAAGGAATAACTTCTGGTATGCAAAAAAATATGTGACTATCTATCATTTAGGAATCCTGGTATCAACTCACTCATGGTCCATATTTGACCAAGATGGGCAGTCTGGAAACATAAAATATAAATAGACAAAATTATGTGTATGCAGCATATACATTGAACATTATGTATGAACAACTATCTCTGTCTATTAATAGATAGACAGACTGATTGATTAACTGGCTGAACTTGCATTGAATATAATGCATGACTGTCTCTATCAAACCAATAAATTAACTGATTATGGGTTATTGGTAACCACATTTAGTTTTAGCCTTATGCAGACTTGCAAAAAAAAATCTTCATATTAACTAATTACAAAATAATGATATAATATAAAGAGAAATCTAAATTCTTAATTTTATTTTGTAGGTATTCAAGAAGGAACACAATGCACCAAGTGTAAAAGTAACTGGGCACTGAAATTTTCAATCATACTTTTGTATATATTATGTGCCTTGCTAGCAATAACAGTAGCCGTCTTGGGATACAAAGGTAAGTTCCATGTCTATAACAGCAGCTGTGTACTGAGTCCAAGAGAAACTGACCACAAAAAAATAATTGATTAATTAAATCAGTGTGATTTCAGAATATATCACAGACAAAAGCAAATTGTAATCATCATTATTTTCTATGCTAGCCTATCAGTTAATTCCTCATCCTCATTCCTCAAATAAATAATTACTTAAATAGGGTAAGATTACCAGTCTGTGATGATTAAATTATAAAAATGTAAGCAACACTTTAAGTTTAGGAAAAACAAAGACTCTTTGCCATCAATCTATTTCATACATCAGACTTTCATAATGTTATTGTATTTAGGAAATAAGTATACATCAGTCTTTCATAATGTTATTGTATTTAGGAAATAATAAATGTTATTGTATTTAGGAAATAAGTATAATACAGAAGCTCAGTAATTCAGTTAAATTTCACTGACTGCTCTTCAAACATGCCTTATTCATTGACTTCAGTTTAAGGACTGGATGGACACACACACACCATGGATAATATTTAAACATCAATAGTAAGGGGAAATCTGAATATGTCAGTACTCTGCATATATTATCTACCTGTTGAAATGCAGGTAAACAGCATGTTACCTTTCTTTATTATAGATCCCAGTTTGAAAAAATATGGAAAAGCAAGGTTAGATAGTCCTTAATTTAACAATTATTTGTTTATAAATTGCTTGAAATGACACTGAAAAAAAGTGATTTATGACAGGTCCTGATATTTATGATTGTTGCAGCATATCCAGTCACGTGATCAAAATTTGGGTGCTTGAAACTGGCATGTATTTGCAATGGTTGCAGAGTCGTGTGTGTGTGTGTGTGTGTGTGCGCGCGCGATGAGATCATCTGCCACTTTGTGAGTCTAAGAGAAAGGGAAAGGATGTAGTGGATCTGACTGAAGGAGATTTGAGCTTATGAAAGCTCATTATAAATACATGGAACTAAAATAAATGTCAGAAAGCATGCAATGGCACTACCAAAATGGTTATGGGAAAGTAAGAATCATATATTGATCATAGTTACATGTTAATGCTCCAGTAAATGATAATAAATAAAGGTTGTTGAGTAACACAATGAATGAATTGCAGAGTTAATATATGTAGAAAGAATAAATGGATCAAGGGAAAAAGAAAGACCAAAGAAGTACAGTAGAACTTCTGGTCACAAACACTTTTGACCACGATCAAATCAGGTTCCAACCAAAAAAATTCACAAAATTTTTGAATCTGGTCACAAACACATACTCGGGTGGCAGTCAAACACAACCCCTGACCCAGAAATTCCTGAAGACGAAACATTAGAAAATGAAGAAATTGCCAAAGTTATGGAACAAATTATGGTTGTGACCAGAGGTTCTACTGTGTGGTTGGGTGCAGTTAATGAAGTCTTGCAAAAGTGAGAGGTGAGAAGTTTAAAGAACAAAAGGCAGTGTAGGAAGCAGCTTATAGAAAATATCAAAAGGTGTCGAAAATGTCTTGGTGTTGATAGGTTTTCCAATGTTTCCTTTTGTTTTTCTTATTTTATGCCATCACTTTTCTTTGGCTTATTATTTCTTACCCCTTTTCTTCATTTTGCAATAATTTAACTGAAATGTAGTAATATGACAGATATCCATGTATATATGTTTAAAATAACAATTCTTTTTTGTTCTTATTTTCTTATTTTGTACCCACATCCTGACCAGCTCCACCATCACTGTTGCTTTTCCTGAAAGTAGTTCTTCTTAATCCTTCTTAACTGAATGTCTTATCCATAAAATATCCATAAAATGGATAAGACATTCATACTATAGCCAAATAATTACTCTTGTGCAAAAATTAAGAGTAATAATTACTCTTGTGCAAAAATTAAGAGTAATAATTATACTTGTGCAAAATTATTTTAATTCTTGTAATTCATGTGAAACCTTTCTGAGCTATAGTTAGTGGCCCAATGGTCTTTATTTAATTTTAAATGCCATTAGAATCTGACATAAAATATTTGCTAAAGTGTGAAAAGATATTTTAACTTCCAAAAGCACTATTTCAGTATGATATTATGTGCTCTCTGAAATTTCTTAGCCTATTTTGTAAAATAAATATTCCGCTTTCCCCAGTAGTTACTTTCTCTTTAATATTTGGTTTCTACCCTGGATTGACTTTTGATTGTAAATTTGTTATTTTGTTTATATGGGTAATGCTTGACTTACGACCGTAACTGAGCTCTGTAATTATGGTCATAATTTGTGATGGTCGTAAAACACATGACTGACCCAAAGTTACTTTTCTTTTTTGAAAGGTCATTAAACAAACATGGCAGTCACAAAATGAACATGGCGGTCATAAATCTAACATGATGGTCATAGAGTGAATGCCATGATCAATAAGCAAACATCTTGTTTGCTATGGGGAGTTTTTTGTCACAAACTGGAGATAAATGCCGGTTTCCAGCAAAAACATATTTAATGGCAGTCACATTACTGGGGTATGCTGCAAACATCATAATTTCAGGATGGTTACCCAAAATATGGTCGCGAGACTATGAGAGACAGTGGCAGCCACCAGAATTTCAAAACCAGGTCATAAGTATATTTGGGGGCGGGAGTGTCCAACATATCTTAGAACAGTCACTAAATGACCAGTAATAAATCAAAAACTACAATATTGCAAAATTCTGTCTTATTAAATAAAAACAAAAAGCACTATATTCTACGAGATTTTAAGGTTTTAACATATAGCTTTACACTCATCTCATTATGATTTTTTTTTTTTGGCCTTTTTCTATCACTTCTTCAGCTTTATATTGTGTACTTTCATGATTCTAAAAATTGCCTGTGACTTAAGTCAAATGTAAAACTCAGTACTTCTAACAATTGCAACCAGGTATCCTATGAACATCTCCTCCCCTCCTTCTGTTCCCCTCGGAGCCAGAGGGAAGCCTCCAAGCCCCATTGAGTCCATTGTGGAGGGGGGCGGCAGGCAGCAGCATGCTTTGAACAGATCTGAAAACCCAAACAAACCTGATAATTCTCCCATGAGCTGCTCAGAGCATCCAGTAATGGGAGGTGCTTCAGTCTCTGCTTGTCTAGGCTGCGCTTAATTTGCGGAACGCTCCTCCTCCTCCACGGGACTCCTCCCCAGCGTTCCCCAGTTTTGGCTCAGCCTCATGAGAGTAGGCAGTGCTTTTCGTTACTCCTTGGCCGAAACAGGAGAATTCTGGTTCAGGTTTGGAGACAGTCAATTTCATCTTCTTCTAACAATTGCTCTTCGACCTACCGAGGCTGCCTTTGCCAAATGGCCATCGGGGATCGCATTATCAGGAAGCGCTTCTTGCGCTCCTAAGCGCAGGGAGGCTTCGATTTCATTCCGGCTCCCCCACCACTAACCCTACCCTTGCCATTGCAATAGCCATGATGTTTTAACATATGGCGTGGCTTTTCTCTCTCACTCTCTCCCGAGTCGTATTGAAGTTTTTTCCCCCAGAACGCCGTTTAGGGGTGGAGGTGTAATCGCCTGGTTATTTTCACCCCTCCCAGCCAGTTTAGCCCTAAGGGAAAGCTGTTGGAGCTTATCCCTTTTCACGGTGGGAGATTGCTGCTGGCGTGCGCGCCACAAAGAAGGGCCGGTTGCCATTTTTGCTGTAAGGGGACTGTGTGGCCGTGCTTGAGTACAAGTTCAGTAGACTGTGTGAGGTAATCCTTATTCCAAATTAAGTTTTTTTTTACACAAAATACCCCGAGGAATCATCACAACCTTGTTTCTAACCTTATTCGAGGCCATTGTTAGTTCTTGTTGTTGGCTTAACCCTCACAGTTTTCCTTATCCAGCAGCACAACAGCGAGCACCTAGGCCAGTGTCCACCTGTGCAGGGAAGCTGTTGAAGGTCTGTGAGTGATAATTTGGCCTGCTAGGCATTCTCAATTTGGCTGATTGGGACATCCAAATTTGATATATATTTGCATACCTATACGCTCTATAGTTATTAATAATAACTATAACTCTATTATAGTTATTAATAATTATAATAATACTAATATAATCATAATAATCATACCCATATAATAATACTAGTAATATCAATAATAAATTATTATTGTTGAGATACGACTCAATTTTGAAACAGATATTCACATTTATATATATATATATATAAAGGGGGGGATTCGATTTCAGGGCACCCTGTCCATCCTTGGCCAGGTCCCTGGACGCGCCAACCGCCTACATAATATAGCATTAAATAACGAGTGTACTGTTAATTCTATAATCAAAATGGCAGGGGGTAGTGGTTCACACAGCTCAACTTCAAGGGGCAAGTCTAAATCTCAACACAATCCTAAGCACAAAAAAAAGGGGGGACTTCTAAGGCATCAGAAAAAGACGCCAACAGGTGCCACAAGGCACTGGAAAAACAAATAGATAAGTGCACACGGGAGGCACACAGGATCTTTCAAGTTTCCTCACCCCACAGTCCAGAGCCGACCTCCTCTTCCCTCCCTCTTCCCCCCTAGATCTCTCTCTCTCATCCAGGTGCAGCATGGCTCCCCAGAGTCAACAAGCCCAGTCAACTCAATCACCAACCATGCAAAGGATACCCGAAGTGATGTTCACACCAACGGCTGCCGGTCTTCGACAGGAACAATCTCTTCCAGACGAAGTGCCAGAGCGAATGAAGACCTGGATGGAAATGGCTATCTGTCAGGGAATTGCAGCAGGCCTGCAACATGCGGTTCTGACCAGGGATCACCCTGCACCCGCTGAGTATAATTCGCAATCAGTTTGATCATTGGCCAGGTCGGAGCAACACTATACCAGGTACAGTTTCAAGGGGGTATGCTCCTCCAGGGGCCGCAGGAGGAGGCGGCGGAAGAGGTGGAACACATTGAGCAGATGGAACAGAGTGAATCAGAATCAATACATGATACTGACCCGGCCATGTCAGAAGCGGACCCCTTAGAAAGGGGGATGTCTGAGGATGAGGGCCTTGTTCCTGACCAACCTGTAT